TAGCTGGATTAAACCGAATTTCGGACCAGGGCGAAAACAGAATTTGACCTCCCAGGAGTTGCATCTGAAGGCGTGCACTTCTGTGTCCGCTGCGGCCGCACTGCCGCCGTGGACGGCCGCCCAGAAGGCCAGGGCCGCGTTCCAGCCGCGCGTGCAGCCTCGATCGTTTCGCCCACGCGCGTGATGGCCTTCATCCCATCTTTTTTGGGTGTAAAACAAATGAATAACTATGCTCACAATGAACCTCCTCGCCAAACGCGCCGTCGACAAAGCATACACCCTGCAGCATTGTCCTACGAACGCGGCCGATGGCTGGCAACGGAAACGGGCAAACTGAACAGGCAAGGGCAAGCTTCACCGGGGACGGGCCTCAAATCGAGGATCGGCGGGTACACAACACGGCCGGTACACAACATTGAAGAGACGGCCTGTACAGGCTGCAACACGCAACGAACATGTCACGAAGTGTGACCCGCAAGTGCAGAATAAGTAGGACGACGACGAGGAGGAAGGACAGACCAGGAGGAGGACAGTTGGAAGAAAGGAGGGGCACTGCACAGACGGAGACAACACCTGCGCGCCGAGCGCGAGACACGAGCAGCTAGCCAGCTCGAGCGTCAATATTCGATATCGAACAGACTGGCGTTGACAAAATGTTGCGTTTGTCAACGGCGCGCTGGCCACAGAGGTCATCGCCCGACAGCTAGTCAGTCTGGGCACCCACATAACCGCTGCAACGCAAGTGCAGACGATTAGATGACACAGCTTCGACTCCAAAGAGGCAGAGGAGGAGAAGACGGAGGGCGAACGAGAAGAAACGGGAGCAGGTACGATGATACATAATACCCCACATTCGTATCAGAACGAAGCAGCCCAGGTTGCCCGGGACAACAAATACAACTCGCTATCTGGAATCGATGGTGAGTTCGCAACTGGGAAAAAACATGCAGCCAGACGACAACGACGACGACAGGAGGGCACAGGGGGAGGAACAAGACGGGATTAGACCAGCAATGCCGCAGAGCGCGGGTGACCGGCAACTGCGTCTTTGGCCTTCTGCCAACTGAAACCTCCAGCCACGCTGTGCGAGAGAGCACAACGCGCGCTGTAGAGCGCGTAGAGGGCAACGGCCCGCTTTGCCCGCTCATCGCCAGAGCACGTGCAGAGGCAACAACATTTCCAATCTCCGGTCTGGCGGCACCGCAGGTAGGCCCATGCGGCCGGTGAGAAAGGAGCGACAAATCGTGCAGAGGCCATCGTCCCAGCTGTGCTGGCGCCACCGCAGGCCGCCCGCGACATCGCCCGTGCGGGAGTGGAAGAGGACTCGGCGAGAAGAGCACCAGCGCGGAGCGCCGAAGGCGAGCAGCGCCCGCCACCCACTCCAGCCTGTCGCTCGCGGCAGCTCCTTCGTAGACGGATCTGGGACGACGGCTTTCCACGGCGAGCCTCGGCCACGAACAGGTTCCCCGACCTAGATCTATGGAACGGTCCGAATACCAGAGCCCCTCTTGAGCCCAACGTGGTCCTTCTTTCAGCGCCGTGGCTGTAGCAAGGGTCGGTTGAGCCTGACGAGTGGCCGCATGCTTCAGGCAGCGGGCACGAAGGTGGCAGGTCGGATGACCCACGGCGGCGATGACATTTACAACATCGACGACCCAGAGACCCGATGTTGCGCACAAACTGCAGCATCACGAAACATCAAGTTCAGGGCCCTGGGCCCCATCCTCCTGCGACATGTTTCGAGCCGCATCGACCTGTGATGGCCCTGGGCCCCGCAACCAGGCGACCACGCAGCGTGCAAAATAAGGGCAACGCCCGGTCGGATCTGAGCGGACGACGACGACGCCGACGGCGCCGACGACGACGACGCCGATGCCGCCGACGCCGGCGACGCCGAGGCCGACGACGCCGAGGCCGACGACGCCGACGTCCGACCAAGATCCGCTCCCAACTGGTCCCCAGACCCCTCTCAAGGTCCACCCAGGCCAGCCTTTCGAACCGCGTCCGGCCGTGTCGACGAGCACCTCCGCAGTCGCCAAAACACCGCCGAGACGACGACGACGCCGACGCCGACGACGACGCCGACGACGACGACGATGACGACGCCGACGCCGACGCCGACGCCGACGACGAGGCCGACGACGACGAGGAGGAGGACGACGACGAGGAAGACGACGACGACGACGAGGCACACAACGACGACGACGAGGAGGACGACGACGACGAAGACGACGACGAGGAAGACGACGACGACGAGGAGGAGGAGGAGGACGACGACGAGGAAGACGAGGAGGACGACGACAACGACGAGGGCGACGACCACCCCAACGGGCGACCACCCGCCTCGGGCGGCGGAGGCCGCGACGCCCTCGCGGAACTCGGGCGGCTCGCGCCCGGGCTCGAAGTAGAGCTTGCGCACGTCTCGCCGCGGGGAGGGGCTGGGGGGGGGGGCTCGCCGCCGCCTCTCGTCCTCGTTCTGAGGACGAGAGGCAGCGAGCAGGAGGAAGAAGAAGAGGAGGAGGAGGAAGAGGAGGAGGAAGAGGAGGAGGAAGAAGAGGAGGAGGAGGACTAAGAAGAGGAGGAAGAGGTGGAGGATGTCGAGGATGGTACGCTCCAGCATTTCAGCTTACGTTGGTTTAACGTAGCCAGGGTGCCGAGGAGAGGAGACGATGTGAGGTCGAGGGGGTCGTCTTGGGACGCCTCTCGCAACCAGTGGGTCTCCGGGCCCAAGCATGCTCGCGTCGTACAGCTTGGCCTGGGACCGTCAATAGAAGAAGAAACAAAGCACATAACCGTACACGTCGTTCATGTCTAATCGTGCTCAGTTCTAATTGTGCTCGTTTCTAATTGTTCCTGGCCCCCGAGTGGCCAGGAAGTGGCCCAGGATAGAACAAGTAGAAACGAAAGGATCTTGGCCCCCCAAACATCGAAGAACTTTCGAAGAAGTAGAAACGATCCATTTGTAAAATTTTGGCGCGCCGCGCGGATTTCTTGGATCCTCGCTGTGCCCCCCTCCCTGGCGCGCGGAGCGCGCCAGGGGGCGGCGCCAGAGGCGCCGCCAGGGGGCTCCCAGCACGGATCCGAGAAACCCGCGCGGAGCGCCACAAGTTTTTTTTTTTTTTTTTTTTTTTTTTTTTTTTTTTTTTTTTTTTTTTTTTTTTTTTTATATATTTTTTTTTTTTTTTTTTTATTTTATTTTTTTCTTCGAGTCAATGCGCCCCGTCGTGCGGCGCACTGGTCCTTCGACGAGCCGTCCCCTGGCGTCCCGACCCTCTTGGGGAACCCAAAAAAGGGCGTAATTACGCGCCCAGCTGTGTACATGAGCACGGCCCCGCGATCTGCGAGACGGGCCGCGTCATACGAACGTTCGGGCAAGGCGTGCTCTCGAAACCAGCGCGGATTCATGTCCGTGTGCGTCCTTCTTTTTCGCTCCGGAGCCCCTTCCCCGAGGAGCATCGGCCGCTGACGCTCCCGGTGGGGCCAGGCGATGGGGGGGCCCCCGTGGGCCCGTGGGCGCGGCCAGAAGCCTCCCGTCGTGGTGTGCAAGGGGGCCCAGGGACACACACACACACGCATAAATACAGGGCAGCTTTTAACACATAGGATTTCAAAACCTATAGGACTTTAAATACATAATTAATCTATGAATGAATTTATGCATGAACTCATCGTTGGCTTTAATCCAACATCCCTGCATTTTCAATACATGATCCGCACGCGGAGCACGTATAAAAAACGGCACTGGACACGTAAATCCCAGAATTCCCCAAATTTTTCCAGGTATTTCCAGGATGTTCGTCTTCCCTTCCACCTCCCATATTTCCCGATATCCTCCTGGGAATCCACGACCATGGCGTCTGCGTTTTTTTTTCCTCCCCTCCCGAGCCTTTTTCGCGATGCCAGCATGCCTGGAATGACTCGGGAGGTAAAACTGGCCCTGGGGAAAGCATCGGGACTTCCAGGGGCCCCGTGCTGAGGCAAAACGCTTGACACCATCGGGGCGCAGCCTGCCCCCTCGTCCTCGTGCTGGAGCTCGGGGGTCTCCCAGGGCCGTGAGGTGGCCTCGAGATCCCAAGAGACCCCACCCCCCTCCCCTCCCTCCCCTCCCTCCCCTCCCTCCTCCTCCTCCCCCTCCCTCCCTCCTCCTCCTCCCCCTCCTCCCTCCCTCCCCCTCGAATCGCGCAATCGGGTCGGATCGGGAACGGATGGGGCCGCCCACGAACCGCCCCGCATCGAGATCGGACTTCCGCGCCCGTCTCCGGCTGGCCCGTGCCGATGCAGGTGGAGGGAGCCGAGGCGACTCGCATCGGAATCGCGTGCCCAATCCGCGAGTCGAACCCCATCGTATCGGGTCGCAGGCGGCTCCGCACGGTCCGCCGCAGCGCGACTTTTTGTGGGGCCCGGGAGGCCCCCGCCGCCCGAGACAGTCCTCGGGGAGCGGCGCGAGTCCACGACCCCGTGCGGCGACCCCGAATCTCTGGCGACTCACCACGCGGTGTGGTCGCGGCGCCGTTCGGGGGCCCGTCGTCGTCATCGTCGTCGACGTCGCCGCCGCTGGCGCCGTCGTCAACGTCGTCGTCGTCGTCGTCGTCGTCGTCGTCGCAGGCTGGTCGGCGCGGTCGCGGCGCGTGCTGCCGGCGCGAATCGGGAGGGTGCCGACCCCCTCCAGAGAGCAGTAGCACAGCCAACTCTTGCGCTGATCGGACACAAGCTGTACAGCTGTTGCGTAGTGAACAGCCAACACGTCTTGTCTTCCTTCTCCTCCTCCTCCTCCTCCTCCTCCTCCTCCTCCTCCTCATCATGGCAAATCTCGTTCACGACCTTCGAGGATCGCGGGTGGGGTTGCAGCATGGTCGTTTCGACGTGTCTTGAACCCGGCTTGGCTCTTGTTGGGCCCCCGCGGGCCTCTAGAAGCCTCAAGTGGCCCTGGGGACCTTCAGAAGTCGGCATCTGGGTCTTCATGACGATTTGCCAGCTCCACCTCCTGAGGAGGAGGCGGCAAGGAGGACGGTGATCGAGGAGGAGGACGGGGAGGGTGGTGATCAAGAGGACAAGAGGATGTCAAGGACATGGCGAGGACAAGAGGATGTCAAGGATGGGGAGACAGATGATAAGCAAAAGGAGGATGAGAAACGAGCATGAGGACAGAAGGGGAAGGACGACAGAAGGAGGGATGATGATACTTGGCTGTGCTGTTGTAGATGATTCCTCTGCGATCTGGAGCGACAGCTCGGACATCCGCCCGCGCCAAGGGCCCCTCCCTCGGACTGAGCGTGTAGCAAGATGAAGAGGAGGACGGGGATGGGAGACTAGGGGGAGGAGGAGGGCAGCACGAGGGATACGGTGAGGGCATTGGATAAGGAACCCAGGGTCTGGAAGCGGGTGGGGCACCAATTGAGGCCTGGCCATGGATCTCACCGCCGCCCTCATCAGATAAGGAAGCCTCCTGGGCACAATCCTTCACGAACGCATCCACCGTACGATGAAACGAACCACGGGGCGGGCCAGAGGAGGACAAGGACGGGGAGGCGGGAAGTAGCATGATGATGCGGATGAAAAGGATCACGAGGAAGATGGCAGAATGCCGAGACGGATGAGGAAAGGGACTGATGGAACACATGAAGGGCTTTGACGGAGGAGGAATGCCGTTCAGGAGAGATGGTGACAGGGGGAGGCATTCTTAACAAGAGGAGGGGGAATGGGAAGATAGATGCCGGGATGGCAGTGGGACGATGAGCACAAAGATGGGAGATGAGGAGGGGGAGCAGCGGCGGGATCATGCAAGCGCGAGGTGGGATGGAGGCGGAAACCAATGGCAATGCTGGGGGATCTGGAAGCGGAAGCGGAACAGGCGCGAGGCGATGCGGATCAAACACGCGACACGCCTGTATTCGCGGAAGCTGCCTTGGACTTCAAGATTCTGTGGGGAACCGATCGGGATACCCGCAGCGCTCCGCGCGAGCCCCGCCTGGCTCGGGCTGGGTCTCGCGTCGGATCGTGGCTGCACCTCCCGCGCGCTCGGCAAAGCCGTGTGTGCGCACCCGACCCATCCGCCACGGGGCGTTCGGCAAGCAGTGGAGTGCCACACTGCGCACAGACGCGTGAGTCGAGGGATCACGAGGGTCCATGAAGGCCCCTGTTTTCTCGGAGCTCCTGGGGCTCACTTCGCGGTGTCATCCCGGATGAGGTGGCCAACCGAGCGAGTTCCGACTCCCCTGGCAAACTGTGGCCAATCGGGTGTGCCACCACCTCGTCAAGAAGCCCGGTAACGTAATCTAGCCTGCCCATGTGGCCTGGCCAAGTGAGGCCGCACTTCTGGCCGCACCTCAATCGCTGGTTGTTCCACCAGTCCGTGCCTAAGTCGCAATATGTGGAAGGTCCTCGTCCTCAGGACGCACTTAATTACGTGGCTTCAAGGGTCTTGTGCCCCACTGCGCGAGCTTGAAACCAACCAAACGAGCTCTGAATTGAATGAACTTGATCCGACGACTTCGCGGTATCTGCAGCCATCAGGGTCGAGTGGATGTAGCCGTTGGGATCAGAGCCAACAACACCAAGATGTAACTCAGAAAAAATCCGTATCGCATCACAGTGTCCAACTGCATGGAGGGAGGCCGGTCAAGGAACCCCTTCTGCAACGTCGGGCTAGGTTCTTGCATGGACTTCAGGTACTTAAGGAACGTGGACATGGGCATCCCCTGGCCATCCTCCACTCCCATCGATGCGAAGATCTCTGTCACCTGCTCCGCAGTGTAGTAGATGTCGAAGTGTCGCAAGCCTCTCCGCATCTCCGCCCTGCTGACGACGCCGTCGCCGTTGTCGAAGAGCCTCATCGCGGCCTGCACCGTGCGCTGCTGCGTCGGCAGCAGGCTCGACACCTGCAGGCCCGAGAGGCTCTTGCAGACCTTCCTTCGCGGCTCGCCCTCGCCGCCCGCGGGCGGATGGCACGCAAAGTGGCTGCGGAGCAAGCGCGACACCTGCAGCCCCGAGAGGCCTCTGCAGACCGTCGCTCGCGGCTCGCCCTGCTCCACCTCCACCTCCACGACCTCCTCCGGGGAGACCAGGAGGTACCGAGACCACCACTCCCGGGACCTCTCCAGGGGCGCGTCCTGACCAGGACTTCGGGGCGGATCCGGCGGTGGCGACGAGGGCCTCCGAGGAGGCCCAGAAGCGGGAAAGCCAGGAAAGGGTAGAGGTATGGGCCCCCTTTCCTCTCCTCGATTGATCCTCCGCCTCCACGCCCGCGACCTCCTCGTCCGCAGGCAGAGGGAACTGCAGGCGCTGCGTGAGCTGCCTGTTGTAGGCATCGCCGAGCTGCGTCGAGAGCGCCCGGAGGACGCGCAGCCTCGCGGCGCGCTCCTCCTCCATGCTGAGCAGGTAGGACACCAGGCCGTACTCGAGAACCGCGGCGACGTTGTAGACCAGGCTCTTGAGGAGGAACGCGCTCAGCCAGGTCGTCTCGGAGATGCGCGGGAGGTGGCTCTGCACGCCCCGGATGTGGTTCAGCATGGTCAGCACGGGCAGAAGGGACAGCGCAACTCGCGCGGGCGCGTTCGTCCGCGCGACGAAGAAGCCAGTCCATGACATGGCCACAAAAAGGATTCCGTAGAGGACGTCGTTCATGATGTGGTACCCCGCGGAGCGTTCGAGGGCCACGTCCAGCTTGAGCGTGTGCCACTGCATTGCGTTGGCCCCGGTGCCATACTCGGATCAGGCGAAAGGGGGGGATAGCAAAGGGGGGGTTTGAGAATCAGCTCACGTAGCTGATTTTCCCGGCGCCTCCCGGCGCCGGAGGCGGCTATGTATCGAGGAATGGGCCCCTCGGTGAGGCCGAAACCAGCTGCATGCAGCAAATTTCGTATCCCCCCCTTTCCCAATCCCCCCCTTTCGCCCGGCCCGACATACTGCTGCACATGGAACCTGTGGCCGGTCTCGCTGATCGTCCACTCGGGGAGCCCTACGCCCGCTTCTGGGAGCTCGATTCCGAGATCATCCTTGGCGGCAAGCTCAACCAAGGAAGCATCCTCTGTGTACGACAGGACATCGATCGTGCAGTTCTGCGTGTCGAACGGCATGTTGGAGAAATCCATAACGCACTTGAAGCTATGCTTGAAGCGGGCCGACACGTACACTGAGCCAGTGTTGGACACCTGTAAGAAATTAGAGCCATAGGACTCTGACAAGGCAGTCGAGAAGTAGAGGTCAGGAACCCATATGTCAGGTGATTTTAACGGAATATTCCCAGAGCCCTGAAGGGGCAGATGTAGGGAGTCGAAGCAGCCGCCATCCTCCACCGACGCGAAGCTCAATCGCTGGTCCGTCCAACTCATGCGCCAATAGCCCGACACGTCCACCGCGTTGCCCTTCTCGTCGACAGAGTTGAGCGATTCCAGGTAGAGCTGGGTAGCCACCTTGGTCGGCGGGCCCCCGCTATCAGGACGCACCAATCTCGAATATGGTGCGGCAGTAAGCTGGCGGATGACATCTTCTGGGTTTGATCCGCCAATGCAGTCAGCACGCGCTGGCGTCAAGTGCGCACCCAACACAGCAATTGTAATCAGAGAGCGGGCGTGCACTGCAACAAGTTGGTCGATGCGAGACATCTGTTCTATGCGAGTGCACGGAGCCTGGTGTTGCTGATGCTTTGTGGCCTGCACCCGAGTGGTGCGATTCGGCACGACTTGAACCTCACTGGCTCGAGCCAAAATGGCTACGGATCTTCTCTCGGGGGCCTCCTGGGTCGTTTTCGAAGCCCTGGGGACGGGCCCAAGAGGCCATAATCAATGTTTGTTTGATTTGCGTTTGCTCGGCTATTTGGTCTCCTGGGCGCCCAAGGGACCCCAAAGGCACCCTCTAAGAAATCCTCCGAGCCCCCCGGAGGGGCCCAAGATGATCCAACACGGCTTTGCAGATCGGTCAGAGGCGGGCATTTGTGAACTTTACGTTAAAGCCCTCCATCCAACGACCATCTGGCCCCCGACGCAGCCACCAGGGCCCCAACAGGCCCCCAAGGAGCGCACATGACCCTCCAAGAGCCCCCCCCCCAGGAAGGCACCGATAGCCCACAAAGAGGCCTCCAAGAGGGGCCCAAATGACGCCACATACTTTGGCAGGCCGAAAGGTTTTCCTCTTGAGACCCGTGTCGGAAGCGACGTGCCGTTCAGGTGATCGGATACATGTAGCGTTCTCTTCGGCTTCGTGCCTCATCCCTCCTCCTTCCCCTCTCCGTCCTAGGACGACCCCCCTTCCCCGTATAATCATAGCTTTGGTCAGCAGGTCCGCAATTCCGTGGATATCATGATGCTTCACGTGCGGTGCCCCGCGGATCAAATTTCCCCTGGGTCCGGGATGTTCCTCTGCATTCTATATTTATTTCTCATGGATCCATTGTTTTTTCCCAACCATCCTGTGGTGTTGGGTCCTCGTTTTGAAAAGACGGTGCCCCGCGTTCCCGCCTCCTTCCTCCCTCCCTCCTCCCCCCTCCTCCCCCTCCCACACCCATTTCGGTACCCCCTTCACACGCTTCGTTGCCCCATTGGGAGCTCCACTGACGGCCCCAGTGGCTGCGTTCGCTTTTACGGCGCATGCGGTTCCACCCCCCATTTCGGCACACCCCTCACACGTTTCGTGGCCCCGTAGGGGGCTCCACCGAAGGCCCCGGTGGCTGCGTTCGCTTTTGCGGCGCATGCGGTTCCACCCCCCATTTTGGCACACCCCTCACACGTTTCGTGGCCCCTTAGGGAGCTCCACGGAAGGCCCCAGTGGCTGCGTTCGCTTTTGCGGCGCATGCGGTTCCACCCCCATTTCGGCACACCCCTCACACGTTTCGTGGCCCCATAGGGAGCTCCACCGAAGGCCCCAGTGGCTGCGTTCACTTTTGCGGCGCATGCGGTTCCACCCCCATTTCGGCACACCCCTCGCACGTTTCGTGGCCCCGTAGGGAGCTCCACCAAAGGTCCCAGTGGCTGCGTTTCCTTTTGCGGCGCATGCAGTTCCACCCCCCCTTTTGGCACACCCCTCACACGTTTCGTGGCCCCAGCTCCCCGACGGCCCCAGTGGCTGCGTTCGCCGGCGCATGCGGTTCCACCCCCCATTTCGGCACACCCCCTCACACGTTTCGTGGCCCCATAGGGAGCTCCACCGAAGGCCCAGTGGCTGCGTTCGCTTTGCGGCGCATGCGGTTCCACCCCCCATGTTGGCACACCCCTCCACGTTTCGTGGCCCCTTAGGGAGCTCCACCGGACGGCCCCAGTGGCTGCGTTCGCTTTTGCGGCGCATGCGGTTCCATTCCCCATGTCGGCACACCCCGTCACACGTTTCGTGGCCCCATAGGGAGCTCCACCGAAGGCCCCAGTGGCTGCGTTCGCTTTTGCGGCGCATGCGGTTCCACCCCCCATTTCGGCACACCCCTCACACGTTTCGTGGCCCCGAGCTCCACCAGGTCCCATTTGCGGCACATGCAGTTCCACCCCCCATGTCGGCACACCCCTCACGTTTCGTGGCCCCATAGGGAGCTCCACCAAAGGTCCCAGTGGCTGCGTTCGCTTTTGCGGCGCATGCAGTTCCACCCCCCATGTCGGCACACCCCTCACACGTTTCGTGGCCCCATAGGGAGCTCCACCGACGGCCCCAGTGGCTGCGTTCGCTTTTGCGGCGCATGCGGTTCCACCCCCCATTTCGGCACACCCCTCACACGTTTCGTGGCCCCATCGGGAGCTCCGCCAAAGGTCCCAGTGGCTGCGTTTGCTTGTGCGGCGCATGCGGTTCCACCCCCCATTTTGGCACACCCCTCGCACGTTTCGTGGCCCCTTAGGGAGCTCCACGGAAGGCCCCAGTGGCTGCGTTCGCATGCGGTTCCACCCCGAATTTCGGCACACCCCTCGCACGCTTCGTGGCCCCATAGGGAGCTCCACCGAAAACCCCAATGGCTGCGTTCGCATGCGGTTCCACCCCTCATGTCGGCACACCCCTCACACGTTTCGTGGCCCCGTAAGGGAGCTCCGCCGAAGGCCCCAGTGGCTGCGTTCGCATGCGGTTCCACCCTCCATTTCGGCACACCCCTGGCACGTTTCGTGGTCTGAGGCGGCACCGCCGAATGCCGCAGCGGCAGGTTCGGCATGTCGGTGTTGCCCCATGTCTGTACACCCCTCACACGTTTCGTGGCCCCATAGGGAACTCCACCGAAAGCCCCAGTGTCAGGGTTCGCATGGCGGCCTTGGGCACTTTCGGCACACCCCTCACGAGGATCGTGGCCCCATGGGAGCCCCACCGATGTCGCCCGTGGCAGCATCCTTCATGGCTCTCAGAGCCCTCTCCTGCTTCTGCTCCTCGGTCAGGGGAACGCCGTCCTCGTCGTCGTCGGCGCCCGCGAAGACGGCCAAGAACGTGTCCCTGAGCATGTCGGGCCCGGGCGGGGAGCCGTGGCTACATAGGGAGCGCGGGCGAAGATGGTATTCACAATTGCGGTATTCACAACTGCGTATGGTTGGGTCCTTCGCCAAGCTAGTTTTTCACACACGGGAAAATTGGATCCGCGCAAGACAAAAATAGTATCCACGACACTGTCGTACACCCGCAACAGGATCCAATTTAATCCATCGGTGTTCTCATATTTTAGTCCAAGAGGAAAGAACTTTCGGCCTGGGGATGTATACATCCTGTCCGCGACCTAGGCGCGGTGGCGGGATGGGCCGAAGGCAACTGGTTGCGCCGCCACCTGTTGCTTACAAGAGAAGATGCCAGGGGGCCAAATGAAAACAATTTGACTAATTCCGAAATGTCCACAGTCGGGCCTCGGCCAATACAACCGTCCACGCGGAACATGTGCATCCCGAATACGTTGCCGCCCAAGAAGGTCACGATATGTCACGAATACGGCCAAAATGGCCTCCGAGACGGTCCCAGATGGCCTCCAGTAGTGTCAAACGAACGAACGAACGACGCGCTCCATCGGCCCGGAGGCCGTCCCGAGACGGGTGGCGCGGTGGCGCCTCAGCGCCCTCAGTTCTGGTACTCGACGGTGCATTCCAGCCAGCGTTTGCACTGCCCCCCACGCCGCCGGACGCGGTTCTCTGGCTCCCAGTAGTGTCAAGATGGTTCCAATATGGCCCAAGACGGGCCAACACTGCTCCAACACGGCCCACGATGACAGCCACGGGGCCCTAGAGCCCCACAATACGCCCCAATGAAGGCGCCACGAGGCCCTCTGTGAAAGTCGGAAGAAATCAAAATCTGACATGTCCCTTTGGAAGCCCAGCAGCCACAGGCGGCTCCAGAGGCCTCCAAGACGGCTCCAAGACGGCCCAACCAGCCTCCAAGAGGGACCCAAGACAGGCCTAGAGAGAGGGAGAGAGAGAGAGAGAGAGAGAGAGAGCCGCAAGACGGCCCAAGAGGCCGCCAAGACGGCCCAAACAGACCTCCAAGAAGGCCCTAAAGTGTGCAAAGAGAGACCCACGCCGGCCCAGAGAGGCACTCAAGCGGCCTCCGAAGGCCAGGCCCTTTAGAGGCCCCCAAGAAGGCCAAAACGGCCCCGAGCGGCCCCGGAAAGGCTCCCAGGAAGCAGCTTGGGGGCCCTCAGAGGGCCTCAAAGGCCTCTTCTTCCTCCTCCTCCTCCTCCTCCTCCTCCTCCTTCCCTCCTCCTCCTCCTCTTCCTCCTCCTCCTCCTCCTCCTTCTCCTCCTTCCTTCTCCCTCTCTGTCCCTCTCCTCCCTCTCCCTCTCCCTGTCGTCCCTCTCTTCCCTCTCCTCCCTCTCCCCCCTTTCCTCCCTCTCCTGCCTCTCCTCCTCCCCTCCTCCTCCTCCTCCTCCTCCTCCACGTCCTCCACCTCCACCTCCACCTCCACCTCCACCTCCACCTCCACCTCCACCTCCTCCTCCTCCTCCTCCTCCTCCACCTCCTCCTCCCCTCAAATGTTTCTTTCGCCAAGGGTTTCCACCACGACTGGTGGAACACTTGTTCCCATCCATTGGCCGAACTCTTGGTCCGACGTGTGGCCACTTCGGCATCTCCAGCAAAGCAGGGGGCGGTGGTGACTCGCCGTAGACGTCTTCGACCCTCCGCCCCGAAGCCTGCCAGAAGGGTGCTGGGCGGGCCGAATTTAATCGAAGGCGCCTGCAGCGAACCACCGCCGCACCCTGCCTTTAAGTGCCCCTATGTGACCAAACGTTGTGCCAAAGCTCGGCCAACCGAACGGGCACAGTCTCATCAGAGCCGTGGTGGGAACCCTTGGGGTAACACCTGCGAGAGGAAGGAGGTGAGGGAGGAGGATGAGGAGAGGAAAGAGAAGGAGGACACAGGGGAGGAGTAGGAGGAGGAGGAGGAGGAGGAGGAGGAGGAGGAGGAGGAGGAGGAGGAGGAGGAGGAGGAGGAGGAGGACACCGGGGAGGAGGAGGAGGAAGAGGACAAGGAGGAGGAGGAGGAGGAGGACGAGGAGGAGGAGGCCTATTATGGAGCCCTCTCGGGTCCTTCTTGGGGCCTCCTCAGGGTCTCTTGGTCTCTCGGGGGTTCCTGAGCCTTCTTACGGCGCTTTGGTCCGTCTGACAACTTCGGAGGCCGTCTTGTGGGACTCTCTGGGCCGTCTTGGTGGCGTCCTGGGGCCCTTCAGGGCCGTCTTAGAAGCTTCTTAGGCCGTCCTGAGACCCTCTTGGGGCCGTCTTCGAGTTCTCTAAGGCTGTCTTAGAGCTGTCTTGGAGACTTCTTGGGCCGCACGGGATC